GAGCAACTGTCTACTGGCTTCGATAGCCATGACCAACATGCCAGCTCCAGGATACAATAAGCTCCCTGTAACTCTGTGGTCTTTGATCCACGGGTTCTCACTGAGACGTATCCAATTCCGCCAGATTGCGTTGCTCTGGCTCCAATCCGGCACTGGCGCCCCAAGGAGCTCCAGGCGGGGGTGCTTTCGGAAACGATACCCCTTGCTCAGCCGGCTTTCCTTCCAATATGACTTGGAGTGATTGAAGGGGTAAGGCGGTAGGTCAACTAGCATTTTCGATGGAGAAGGACTTGCGCTTTCATTATTAATGGACTGCAAATCAACAGGCTGCCCTCTGCACCAGAGCCAACACATGGCGCTTAAGACTGTATCATCGGCATTGCGGTTTCTGGTCAGCATCGACTTGTACGCGATATCTTTCACCCCAGAAATACTCTCCATAACTTCGCGGAGTGGTCCTTGCAGCGCACCATGAGGGCCAACTTCGAGAATTTCCGTAATTGGGGAGGTAGCCTTGACGGGTTTGACCCCTTTCGCTGGACTCGATTTGTCACTTAGCAGCTTCAAAGAAGCCTCAGAGAACCTTACAGGGCATATCAGGTTGTCAACCCAGTAGCTTGGCATCTGGAGCCTGTGAAGGGGGAGATAGTCGCCGGTCAGGGATGAATAATAAGCCACCGCTGAAAGGGGGTCACCATTGCCGTACCCATTCGCCGATTCCACATCGCCGATGAGTTGCTGATATTGGACTGCAATCTTCTGCATATAAGCTGAGTGGTAAGCGTTGGTGACCTTGAGTCTTCGATTGAATACAGAGTCCTGGTCGAGACGAGTTTGCAATATCCCAATATCGGCAGGATTCCCGCTGACGGTGACGCTTTTCGGGCTGTTGAAGCACGCGATTGTCAGTAGCCTCTCCTGGTTGGAACAGACCTCGTCTATATATTTGGCCACTCTTTGCGGAGCCAAAGCAACTGCTAACATAGCTCCGCTTCCTTCTAGTTGGGATGAGAGCTTTCCGCGGTAGTAGGCAATCCTCCAGGCGCTTTCGCGGGAGATGGCTCCGGTGGCAAATGCAGCTGCTATCTCGCCTGACGAGTGTCCTATGACGGCACCGATTGGGACGGACCAGCTTCGTAGTAGTTCGACTAAAGCTACCTGGAGCGCTGTGCATATCGGTTGACTATATGCTGAGTCATGGATCATCGTTTCACTGCCGTGCTTGAGCTGTTCAGAAACTAATGACCAGGAGCAGCCCAGCTTCTTTAGGTACTTATCAGCATTGTCCAGACTGTGTTTGAAGATGGGGAACCTAAGTAGTTCTCGTCCCATCTCGGGCCATTGCGCTCCCTGACCGGTGAAAACGAGTGCAAGCCTACCGGCAGTCCCGGGACGCACTGTTGCGGGGGTGCCAAGAAGCGCAGTTTTAAGAGACTCGATACCCGTTGCGACAACTCCAGCTCTCCAGGAAAGCTGGCTTCTCTTCGATTGAAGGGTGTAAGCCAAGTCATTGAGATACGAGTCCTCGTCATCGATGAATGGAGACTGTCGCTCCAAATAACCATGGTAGGACTGAGTGACACGCCTAACGCCGTCTTCGTCGTTCGCAGAGAGTAGGAATAGTCTGTTTTGTGCTCCTTTGGCAGCTGAGTAGCCGTTTTGACTCCCATGATGTTGAGAAATTCCGTTGGTGTGGGAAATTGTTCCCGCACCGTTAATATTATTTCCATTGGTAGTAGGAACTTTCTCATTCCCATTTAGGGCTCCATTTGAGAGACTGCGCTGGTCTGATGAAGATCCATTGGAAAGACCGCGGTCGGCTAGCTTTGGGCTGGAGACGGTCCTGTGCTGACCCTCTATTTGACGGCTCAGCATATAGTGACGAGCATCGTCGAGAACAGCATGCGCATTACTACCTCCGTAGCCAAATGAATTGACCGAAGCGCGACGTAACCCATCTTGAGGCCATGGCGTTGGTTGAGTCGGGAACTTGAGGTGCCATTTGTGAGCGGGGATTTTGGGATTCACTTCTTCAAACCATAGGTTCGAAGGGATAATGCCCGTCTCAAGCACCGAGACTGCCTTGATTAATCCAGCTATACCGGCAGCTCCCTCTAAGTGTCCAATGTTGGTTTTCAGTGCACCGACATACATGGGATTTTCGGTTGATCTGTGAGGTGTGAAGACATCACTTATGGCGCTGGCCTCTATAGGATCACCGATGTTGGTTCCCGTACCGTGAGCTTCGAAGTATCTCGTGACTCCGAAATCAAGGTTTGCCTTATCATAGGCCTCGCGGATCAGTTCAACTTGACCCTGGCGCGTAGGCTGCGTTATGCCTGGTGATCTTCCGTCTTGGTTGGAGGATGTGGCGCGGATTACAGCACGAACAACATCGCCGTCGCGTACAGCATCCGACATGCGCTTGAGGATAACCACACCGAAGCCCTCGCCTCTCGAGTATCCATTAGCCTTGCTGTCGAAGGTGTGGCACTTCCCGTCCGGGGAGAGGAAGCCAAGGCTTGTCAGCGGAACCATCGTATCGGGATTATAAAACAGGTTGCATCCTCCAGCAACAGCCTGTTTAAGAAAGTGTTAAATTTAAAATCATCTTTCAAAGTCGGAATGTGTAATTACTCACCATATTGACTTCACCGGACTTAAGAGCTTGACAACCGAGGTGTACAGCATTCAGACTGCTTGAGCAGGCAGAGTCGAGTGTCAAGCTGGGACCACGAAGATCGTAAAACCAGCTAAGCCTGTTCGCTAGCAACGCTGTTCCCGTTCCAGTGGCAATGTACTTGAGATCGATCTCTGGGTCCCGAGCCATGACACTGTCGTATTCGCGAGTGAAACACCCAATGTGGACTGAGGTCTTTGAACCGACGGCGTTTTCGAGTGGTATACCGGCTAAGACGGGGTGTTAGATGATTAGGTGCTTATAGAGTGGTATTTGAATGACACAACTTACAGTTTTCAAGAGCATGATAGACAGTTTCAAGCAACCCTCGTTGTTGGGGATCCATGTATACGGCCTCGTTAGGAGTGATAGAGAAGAAAGGGGCATCGAATGCAGCAATATCCCCTTTAAGATAGTGCGCATGTCGCACATTGACCTAATCGTTATTAGTATAACTTGAGTTCTAGTTGTGAATTAAGTGACTTGGATAACTCACCGCACCTAGTCGTTCTTGATCGGGATGATAGAACGAGTCAAGGTTGTACCTGTCTGCTGGTGTCTCTGTCAATGCGGACCGGCCGCGAAGCAACATGTCATAAAATGCCTCGGGATCCGTAGCATCCCCTGGAAACCGAAGGCCAGTACCGACGATTGCTATATCCTCCAATATATGTTGAGTCATTGTGATGAAATTGATTAAGTATAAGAATAGGTATGAAATAATGAATTAGGTATGATATTATAGTTTTTTTTGGATGATATTGGGAAAGAATCTTGGACGCTGGGAAGTTCGAAGACAGGCTGCTCATTAATATTAAAGATTTTCTTTTTTTGAACTTCAGTTTGTCTCATTCATATCTTGACTCCGTAGAATATCATGAGGTGAAAGTCCAATGCCTTTATGCTACTCGCCCAACACCACATTTTGAGTGTTACTCTCGTCTTAGAGTAAAGTCGTAAACTCTTCCGTACGGATTATGAGCTACACAGTACGAAGTAAACTACAGTCTATCAGTAGCAAGTATTAGTACCTCTAGTGAAGCCATTGATGACATCGTGACTCAGATTAAATGACTAGATAGGTAGTAGGAGCATATCTTGTTTTGATCTATGTGAGCGAACTTTTGTTCCTACCCAAGTGCCTCTAGGTCGATAGTCGGGGACCTCAACGTGACTGACTTGAACCTTTCAGCTACAACTTTTACGAGAATCTTTCCTAAACCATCACGTTCGCTTAGGATCTAATGCTATCCGAGAGTATTAGCTTAGGCCCCCAAGTATGTTGCTAGTAGTGGTATGTCTAGTCCCTCAAAGAATATGACAGACATACTTGTATTCCTTACATCTAATTCAGCCAGCTGCATATGTGATGTGAACCAACAAGCAGTAAACATTGCCACCAATCTAAGCACTTGCTTTTTCTGACGATCTATGCTCTGAAGAAAACCACTACGTCTACCAAGTCATTTCTCACGTGGACAGAAGCGAGGTAGTTGGGTAGTCATTTTCGACATGATGCTGATCTAGAATTGGTGTAACGAGCATGTCTACCTACCTACCTACTTGACATACCTTATCAGTATCTCCAGGGTGCCTTTCAGCTTTGTGGATGTATGAAACCACGACATATTGGGAAAGTTACGCCTCTGACATGCTCAGGATTCGACATGAAAACAGGAAAAGGCTCACGATAGTGTATGATTTCAACCGGCCCAAATCGCGTGGTCGTCGCGTACTCCAGGAAGTACCTAGGTACTCATTTTACGGCTTCCTTCTGCTGGTAATCAAGCTGTTCAACCTAGGCTGACGTGAGATAGTGCCCAACAAAGGCCTCTCTAAGAATATCGACCTCCTCGTCCGTGCGGATATGTGAGGTGGTAGGTAGTATCGTGCTCACCAAAGGCCTCTAACCCAATTATACCATGCTACGGGAGTGACTCCGACTCTCACATTTTTGCCAAGAACGCCGAATTTAAGATCACAACCAATCATTTCGCTGCATCTCTTCTCCGCATTAACCGATAAGGAAATTTTGGTGGATGAGTCGCACATACTCCTCCACCTAGCCAATAGGAATCAATCATGGCTGTAGTGATAATCACAAGGTTACCGAATAGGGATAGGGGTAGGTATAGGAGGAAGTGAACGTTACGGCGATTAATAGGTAGGTAGCTAAGAGAGTAAGAAAGTTGACATGAATAGAAATTATCGATATTTTGAGGCATTGACTATCTCAAATGTCGACATCCATGCTTTTCAGTATGTAAGGTATTAGAGCAATCAAGTACTATCACTAAAGAGGAAACGACACAGTTTCAATGGCGCAGTGGCGGAGTGGTCTAACGCGCAAGACTAGAACCATCTAGACTTCTTGTCTAGAGAACCTGGCATCTTGTTCCTTCGGGAGCGTCTGTTCGAATCAGGCCTGCGTCGTCATTTTTCTAATTACTTTTTCTTCGTCTGTCAATCAAGTCTTTTTCAAAATAGTTTTTATATATTTTGCAGGAATAGCGCTGTTATCAATGGGCGATTGAAACTTAAGCCGCTCAAAGGTGCCTCGGCCCTATCAACACATTGAATGCTCCAGCAGACACATTAAACTCCTTATGAAATAGTGTAGCCTTATGTATACCTCTCTAGTAGTTGTCATGACACATTCTACTTAGCACCGGAAATCAAAGCCTTACAGACATAAACCAGAACAGTAACGAGACCAAGAAATATGAGCTTTTGGTCCAAGTTTGTGGCTTTCAACCATGGCATACGCATATCGGCGGTTTGCAAATGCATGGGAGAAAGCTCCTTACCGCGACGACCATTCACCAAGTAATCCTTTTTAGGCTCTTGTGGATGATGCTCGAATCTGAGCTCCCAGTCGTACATATGCTCCTCGATGAGGTCAGCAGCTGCATACTTGCGCCTTGACGCGACGTGGGCAATTCGTTGCATTCGACGTGTGTTTCTCGTGAACTCGCCATCGTAGTCTTTGATAATAGTTCCGATCTTTTCGGCCACCTCGGCGGAGGAAAAGTCATTCTTATCAATAGAAAGGGCCACTCCTGCTTGTTCTAGACGTATCGCCCGTGGGAGCCCGTCGCCGCATATGCCCATACAGAGCATTGGCACCCCATGGTAAAGCCCCTCGTTTGCTGAGGATGCCCCAACATGGGAGAAAAAGAGCTTGACTGAGCTATCGTTGAGTATAGCTCTTTGGGGTGCATGGTCAAGGAATAACCAGGAATCGTGTTTGTTCTGTAGCAGTTCTGATACTGTCACTCCAGAAACAATAGTCTGCTGCAACGGGACAAATTGCTTCCTCGCGACGTCTCTGACGGCATAAACGACGCCGTCGATGTGGCCATCCTTCATTGCGTAGGTGAGTCCCTGGAATATCTTCTCGATTACACCAGGAGTGAGAATGACATGAGTACCGAGGGCTAGATAAAGGACGGCTTTCTTGTTTTCTAGAAACCGCGCCTGTCTCTCATCTAACTTCTCCCAGTTATTGTCCGACAAGATCGGTCCTGCGGCCATCATAAGAGGTGGAAGATCCTTTGGGACCTCTGAGCCAAAGAAGGAGTTGACCAAGACGACATGGTCCGGCTTAGATTTGATCGCAGGCATAGTGGCAACACCGTTGTCACGTCGCATCTTTCTTGCCCATAGATAGTAGTCAATGAAGTTGGGTGCGTCTCGCAGAATGTGTGACTGCTCAAAGAGTCGGTCAAACATGTTAGCGTTTTCGCTGGTCATGCAACGCTCCTGAGCTCCAACAAGACCAGGAATCCAAGGCTGCGGTGCCATGAGCCAGGGCATCTGTGGCCACATCTCGGCTAAGGGTATGCTGTACTCAGTGGCAACGTCCTTCGGCGCTTCGGTTTGATAGTCGGAAAAGATGAAGTCTGGTGGAGAGCCGTCGACGAGTTGCTTTAAACCGCGGTAGTTCTCTGACCAGAAGGAATCGTAAAACTTCTTGCAGCTCCAGTAACCACTACGGGATGCGACAGATGTATTGTCCCAGTTACCTAGTTTCAAGTACAACTGCTCGTCCTCTTCTGCGGTGATGGCACGACCGATGATGTGGACTTTCGAGACAAAGGGGTAAGGCCGAGCATAGTGCTCACGTCCGCTCAAAGTCGCAAACTCTATTACATGACCTCTATCTGCCAGAATTTGACAGACTTCGAATATTGGGGCTAGAGTCAACTGTTAGCCAGGTAGGGTAGGTAGGTGAAGTTCGAGACTGTTACCAGAATTTGTTGAGCCACCAACCGTAACAACAACTAGTATCTTGCGGCTTGGGTGAATGTTAAAGTTGGACATTTTGGTAGAATCTTGGATGGTAAGATGCTCTATTCGAGAGTTTGATAGAGGTTCCTAGGTAGGAAAACAGAAAGCTAACACTTGGGGACCAAATAATGAGATCGGAATGCGAGCGGGGGAGGGCTTTGCCAACATGTAGTCGCAAATAGGGATACTCGTGAGATGGTTAACTCCTATTTCCCCATTCCCAAGCGATGCAGTCTAATCTTCGCTCGTGTGGTAGCTCCCGACACCCCAGCCCGCATAAGTTGGGTTACTCAACGCATTAGCCGCAGACCGGGGACCATTTTGCCACGTTGTTCGGGGTTTGCGAAAGGGTGGAGGGGTTGCAGTAGCCCGGGGATGAGGTGATGGTGGCACCTCCTGAGTTGGGTCGGGTTGAGAGCTAGGCGCAGCCGAACGTTCATTTGGGACGTCTTGTCCAATGATATTGTGAAATAGGGAACGTAACCATGGGACTGTTATGGCGCCTCGCATGAACCATCATGCTAGTCACCGCCGCCGCATCCTGCAGATCAAGCGTGAGAAAAGAGGCTGCGGGGAGATCTCCCCTGGTACTTCGACTTCTAAGTTTATCCTCGTGGAATAATTCACACTGGGTAAACAAGTTATTCAACCTCCCATGTGGTTGGCCAGACGTGGACCTATCAGAGACATAGCTTCCTACCATCACTCTCTATCTTCATCACTTCATCATAGTTTCGAACTTAGTATACTATTGACGCACTCATAATCCATCTGGGCAGGTGAGGCGAATACGTACTACCCTATCTACAAAGTTATCGTATGCTTTACATACTACTCTTCGTATTCGAGCTAATGGGCGTTTCTATCTTTTTCCTTTCTGGTGACGACTTAATGTCCATGTAGCCGCCAGCTAGACCTTCTTCCATCAGCTACCTGGATATCGTGACCATATTCCACCCCTTATGGGGTCAGTATCACTCACCCTCTTCGGGACAAGCAAGCATCTTAGGTATGATTCAGTTGCACATGCCATTAAACTAAATCTCACTATCAACTTCTAATATCGTGAAGGGTTGCATACCTATTCAGCTACACAAAGTAAAATGAGGTCTAACAACGGGTGGATATCGTCATTCTTGCCACCTCGAGCGCGAGGATAGTGTGGTAGGCTTGGTTACATTGGTACATCTCAAGCTACCATTCTCATTGCACTAGATCTAGAAGTAGGCGGGTTATTCACTGCGTCGATGTCCTGTAGATAAGGTTTTATCATTAACAGTATCGTTAGCAGGGTAAGTATCAGGGGAATAGTCCATGTTAGAAATCCGCGACAGGTGCGTGTATTTCGGAGTTGAATGTTTTGAAACCGTCAAATAGATGAATTTAGGGGTCAGAGGGTCAGGGTTAGGATTGAGCGCTAACACCTGCTGTATTTTAGTCCAGTAGACCAATCAGTATGTCTCCCACGCAGAACTCTGATACCCAGAACCATTGTATCACGTAAACGATATGAAATATGAAGTAAATTTGTGTGTATCATGTTATAAACTTTATTGCCTACTTTCAGAAGCATGGCAGGCCAGGCCCCCAAAGGACAGCGACTCTGTAGTAAGCTCCGAGGCCGGTTACATCGAGATCGTGAACTGTACCGTCGCTTAGAATAGGGGCTATAATAAGTGGGTCTACGTAATATCATGCCAAGCCCCTCTGGTACATGAAGTGGGAAAGTCAAAAGTGATTGATCTAATCTTTGAACAAGGCGCGATAGAGTATTTGGCATTTTGAATGAACCGGTTGACTCTAATTCCAAGGAATCGCCGATAAATGGTAAGCCTGGCCGTAGGCCGGTTTCAACATAGGTTCGGAGAGGCAAATGACACAATTTCCCGGGAAGGAATCTAGATTGAGTGGTCTACACAGCCACCATAGCAATATGATATATCAGTTTTACTCAGTATACTTTAGCAAAATATGCGGCGCTGATAGAAATTCGGACTGTTGCAAAAGCCACGCGATGAATTGAAGTGAGGCTAATACCCCAGCCTCCACGTAGTTCCCGTGTCGATGCCCAATACGCCCAAGCTGAAAGTCCTCAAGATAGGGGGCAGTGATCATCGTGTTGGTTACCGGCGCTCGGGATATGACGTAACAAGGAGCTTCATGCTGCTTTCTATTTGGAGGAATAATATCGGTGCCTCGCCGATGTCACATCAGCAATTGTAACGAACACGGTAGGGATCTTCCATCGATACTCTTTTTCCAGTTCTTTTTCATCATATCCCCTCAAAACATAACCGGCCAAATCAGCATACCCGGGTCGACCTCGGTCGCTCCGATTGTAGTCCAAGATACCAGTTCCAGGCTTGCTGACTGCATGATCGTGACCATATTAGTTGAGTTACATGCTAGTCATTGACGCTGGTGTAACCACACAATGAGAATCGCCTGATAAAAGAGTAGTGTAAAAAGTAAAAAGTCGTATTGTTACTGTCAAATATTATGAATTCGCTAGACAACGTAAACTATTGGCTGGTCACTAGCACACTAATCCTTTGCCTAACTGTCATGGGTTGGCTAGTACTGTTAGTCCTTACTGAATCCGTTGAACGCGTGTTCAGATAATGAAACTTTCATGCAGAGCCTCAAATTAGGCGATGAGGTATTCCGGCGTTAGGAAACGCTAAGGCTGCCGAGAACAAGAAGTTTGACTGTACTTCGGACTTAGAAAGGCTGAGGAGGCGATTTATGTTCTAGGCATTCCTAGGCCCGGTTACAGAGCTTACCCAAAAACAAAGAAGGAAGGTGAATCGAGACCTATTAGTCGACTAGCGTGTCTACTGACCTGAGGTCAATCATTCTAGCCAGCAATTGCAGGCCCATAAGGCGGTATCTTGGAAAATATCCCCAATGTGGTATAAGCGAGACCAAAAGGGCCCAACCGACCGCTATATCGGCCTATGTGTTCCTTTTTCGAATCAAGCACACGAATCAAGTAATAAGCTGTCTAATGAAGTATCCGAGTAAGAGCCATCAAGTGTAAGCAAAGATGCCCCTAAGTTCCGAGTCCTACTAAAATTCGCTACACAGAATGCTGAATACTTATGGTTCGCCGTCTCCGAGGAAAGCAAGGTAAGTAAGGTAAA